TGTCAAATGCAGGTGCAGGTCGTTTGGTTTTATTTGTCCAGGTTTTAAGATATTTATGTCTGAAGTTCTGCTTCAACCTGTTCTGTTTATTATCGAGAGTAAAGGCCCGGTCACGCCAGAAAGTTGCACAATGAAGTTAATCTGTGCATCCTGCGAAATAGGCAGTGCTAGAAGTGTGGCGACGTGGTGAGTTTCTGTGGCTAGTGAGCTAATGGCTAATGCACTAGCTAACAATAGCTCTGTTAGCTAGCACGCACTTGTGCAAAAGATTAGTTTGTGCTCCTGTGGAGCAGTCGATACTGGCTAATGACCCTTAATAAGCCATAGGCCAACATTGCAAATTGCTTTGTCAAAGTTCAATTTGATGCGAAAGATTTGCTTGGATTTACTTACACTTGTAAGTGTTTGTGTGACTCAGCCTCAGTGGGGCACTGTTTCTGGAAAGAGAACAAGAGTCCAAATTCATTTTAAGCAATGCTGAAAGCACCACATAGAAAATTCCATTCTCCTCTCAGACACGGAAATGCCATAAATGTAATGAAAAATACAAAGCTGACAGTGGTGAGGTAATCACAGACAGGGCTATAGTAAACAATCACCCTTCATCCAAAACCAAAAAGTGTCATCACTGATCGCTCTTGATCTTTCTGAGGTCCTTTTCAGTTTCAGAGGGCTGTCAGTTCATCTGAGGGCCCTGCACAGAGCAATGAGCATCTCAGGTATCTTGGAGGTCCTGGGCTCAGTCCCTGTGGTGTAGCTGCTGCCACATGGAGGTAACTCTAGTGGACTCAATATTAATGACCAGTGACCAGGGCCTCCTTGTAATCCACTTAACGTCATTACACAGGGTCAGCACGGCTACTGCTGCTGGGCTCTCATACCCCAGCTGGACGCACTGCTACATTCCATTTGAGTGGTGTATGGTTTGGAAGATGGAGAAACACTGTTTTGCTACTTACATTTGCATGTATTGGGTTTTACAAAGTCGCACGAAGTTGTTCAGATGACAACGCTGCTGGAAACCTATCAGGATAATACAGACTATTAAAAGAATGCTTCGTTGTAGTGAAAACAGACAAATTTGGAGAGCAGTGATATTTTTTGCCTTTCTCACTCACCCTACTATGGGAAATCATGGCAGTGTTGGGACTAATTTGTAACACACACAAGGAAAGTCCTGACCTCCAGAGTTCTCTCGCTTTAAAGATGACAGTTCAGAGTCCGTGTAATTAAAACAGCTTCAATAGAGGCCAACAAGACTCAGGGGAAGGCCACAGAGAAAGTTTAAAAAAATACAGGTGGACAGCTCAGAGCTCCTCTAACATAGTCAGTGCCTTTGTGCAACCACGGTCCCTCTACCCTGCTTTAGCTCCACATGTGTCAGAGGAATTTTCAGCGCCCAGGACCCTCCAGATGAACCTTTACCCCTTGGTCTCATTTTCTTATTCACACACACACAGAGTTGAGTTAACCTGCACAGCCTCAGCGGGCAGTGTATACATACGCCACCCGGCGTTAATGACCAACCGCGTTACGGCTATTAGACTGAGCGTGTAGTTATGATTTCCACACATTCTCATCAGGATAAAAAGGCGTTTTCAGGCTGGGGTGGAATGACGGGCATCCCCTGTTCACTCCTCACTTCCTACCCTCCAGGTCCTAAAGTTCTCTAATTGAGAAACACAGCTCAAGGTAAGATGCCCGTAAGACCTTTGCCTAAAGACATGAGGTAATGGTGAGGCTAATTAGCCTGAGGAGACAGGGTGGGAGAAGCTCCTGGCCTGAAGGCCCATTAGTCTACAGAACAGTCTCTCTATGGTCAAGGGCATTTACCCTGGGATGAGAAAAACAGAGCGGCATCGCTGGCTGGCTCCTACTGTAAAGCCATGGTGATGGACTGAGTCACCACATGAAAGACTGGGCAAAGGCAGAATAGCCGAATGCTGGAGAAAGAGAAGCGAGTGATTCAATGGCTCATTCAAGACGAGCACTCGTGAAAAGATGAGAAATCTCAGTGGGAGCCTGAGTCCCCCTCCTCTTACCCAGCCTCTGATGCTAATGATGTACAACTTGTCTGGTTACAAAGGCAGGACTTATCACATTGAGCTCTTTTCAGGATATTAGCCCTGACGCTGCAATTTTAACACGGTAAATAAAAATGACTGCAGTGTATATCGTAACGCGAGACAGACATTTTGCTTTTATGGTTTCCGAAATGCGTCAGGGGGACATTGCAAGAAGCCCTATTACATGTCGCTGGGTTTAGAACCGGACAGGCTTTCTGACTTTTCCACAACTAAATCCTAAATTCATCTGCTCTGCCAACTTCTCCTCCTGCCTCTGCCCTGCTCGTCTGGCTCTGACCCTCATCTCCTAAACAATGGGTTCTGTTAATGGATGGATTTATGGACCTGAAAATAAATACATCAGTAGGCCAAGAAAGAGAGCAATTCATGAGACCTTACTGCAGCGCAACATTAATCTCCAGGATATGAGATAAAAGCTAAACTTTACTTACTATAAATCCTCAGATTCCTAACGAGTTCTGTTAAACTATTATAGTCTCTGGACTACAAAGGGGAATAGATGGAGCGCCAGTGTTCATGTCTGAGCTGGGGAAGCCATCGCTTGGCCTTTACTCACATGGCAGCCCACTCTTCAAGACATGATGGGGACAGATGAATAAAGAGGAAGAGGGATTTGTTATCTGAAATCAGTCAGGGGCTGATGGCAGACTTTTATACAACTATATGAAGATTTATAGAAATGGCTCTTTATTTGCTACTACTTACTGTAGGGCAATGTCATTTACTGTTCCATTTCTTCATCAAATACACAGACCCACATGTACACACATAGTTTATTTCAGTATTACATCATTACTCATCTAAAGTACCTTGGCATATGTGGCCGATTTCTGGCCCTTTGTTATCCATGTCAGGGGAAACCTAATCTGTGAACACGTGTCATGCTCAGCTGAAAGTGAATAAAGCACAGCATCCGGGGTTGATGCAGCACTCCCAACAGTCTGACAATGGCGCGGGCTTCTTAAGACGCAGGCTGATGACACGCCAAGGAAGCAAGAAGCAAAACAGTGTGTCCATCACTACCGTCGATGACACTGAATCAGGCACTCATCGTTTGTTACCAGAAAATGTAGTGGGAGCACCAGGAACGTCGCTCTCTTCTAGGGCAATTGGAGCATTACCAAAACATAGCTCGACACCCTGCACACCTAAGTCAGATGGAGTCAAATAAACACATGGAAAACCGTGCGGTGGATGAGATAGTAGGTGAATAAAGACATGAACTTGAGTATAATGGGTAGAACTGTGGAGTGACAAAAAAACCAAGACAAGACTCAAAACTGGAGAGAACAGGAGTAGGCACCAGTTATACTGGCTCCTTCAAGTCTGAGCCGGTGACACCTTTACTCATGAGGTCCTTGGTGAAAAGATCCTGAGGACTGGTCCGCCTTTGGTGTTACGACGTGAGAGGAAATGGGGTCAATTCGCACTCACTTAGAACCTTCAGAATGTCTATGCCAGAATTTCCCTGTCCAAGCGTTCCCTCCACCGCCGAACTAGCCAGGACAATGCAGGGTGGCGTTTGTCTTGTGCTGAAAATGGATCTTTGAGCTTGATGACTTTTGGAAGGGGAAAACTTAGCTCAATCACCTACTCACTCACTCAACCTGCCAACCAACTCAGGGGGCACGATGGGCCAGCGCCATAATCCTGTCCCCCCCACCCACACACACATTTTACTCTGTTATCCTAATTAAGAAGTGAGACAGGGTGAGAGAAAGACATAGAGAGAGCAAGACATGGAATAACTGGTTTCTCCTCCCTTCGGCCTAAGTGAATGGAGATACCTTTACCTAACCTTACCTGCCCAGCCACTTCAGTTTTTCAGCTGTAACCCCCCCCCCCCCACACACACACAGGTTAGACAACCTGATTTGGATCGGTGAAGGATTTTTTGGCACTTCATCAAGCGGAGGCCTGCTGAATCCTCCAGTGGGTAGTTGTTTGGAGGCTGAACTTCTCAAGGGGCCCTCTTTTACCACCCCCACGACTCCCCCTGTTCACAGAACGACTATTTTCAAAGGTCCAGTGACATCTGAGTTAGTAATTTGGCACAGGGCTTTAGCAGAACACTCGGGTTTAATTGGGCTGCACTGCTCTGGATGTTTCAGCAGTCACTGGATTCAGGCCCTTTCCTTAAACTCCTCCATCCAGATGTCCAGGTGACAACTAAAAGTGCTGGCACTCTTTTAATAAAGATATATCGTTTAGCCCTTTTCTTCTGGTTTAATTACACCCAAATGGAGATTTAGCGCAAACCAACTGTTTGTCTAAATGTGCTCAAATCCTAATATTCGCATAACAATAGAGGATGGAAACACACATTAAAATTGCCCTAACTGTAAATGGAAATGTTGCTTAAGACAAGGGCACTTGATGATATCAAATAGTTTCTGAATAAAATTACACAAGTTCAATGAAAATTAGGTTAACAGACAGATTTCTTTTCAAGAATATAGTTTTTAAGGTTATCTTTTGAATTTTCACCTTTATTTGACAGGTCAGATTGTAGAGACACATGCCAACTGAGCCACTAGGAAGCCAAATAACAATTTAAAATTAACTGATTAAAGGTGATTGCAGTGTGGGCAAAAGTACACCAGTATTGTCAAAATCAGATTCAGCCGTAATGTCCCATAGGTGAGAAAACCAGCCAGTGATTGACATTTACTACTCTAGCACACTCATTTACAAGATGAAAGGTGTGAAATCTGTTTACACAACTGTGCAGCAAACTTCTGTGTGGCAGCTCAAAGATGTTGCTGGAATATTGTTCTCAAAACTGAACAAAGATCGACGTGAATGGCACTCAAGGGCACAATTCTTTTTTTTCCTCATACCATTCCGGCTCACACATCACTGCTCTCAATCTCTGCCCAGTTGAAGACATTAATTAATTTAACACCTTGGAAATACAAGTTTAGTTGGATTTTCTTTAATATAAAATGTAGCAGTTATCAAGAATAATGTAAATTCATACACCTTGCTTTGTAAACAGCATTTCATTTACAGCAAGAAATTAAAAACATTCTCTGGAGACTGTACAAATCTGATCAATAAAATAGATGACAGAGGGGTAGCATATGTAGCTGTGAACAAGTAAAATAATAAAAAAAGGGAAATTCATCTGATACTAAATTGAATACAAATCTAGTGGAGAAGTTAAGGATGAGGGATGTCCCATTTAAATGTGTGTTACCATTACTCAAAAGCATAAACACCCTTATTACCCTTTCTAAAAATGGAAAGAAATATATAATATATAAATATCATAGTAGGTGGAAAAGGTCAAAATAAAGGAACGAAGAAATGTATGCAACCTAAATTGGACATGCAGTTAGTGTATGATAAAAAAAATCTAGGAGGAGTTGAATAGTAAGGTTGGCCAAAGTATAAAAAAAAAGTTTCGGGAATAGTTTGAGATTGTGGAAAATATTATTGGCTTTCTTGCCAAGAGTTAAATGAGAAGAGTGATACCACTATCATGACTACACGTTAGAGCCAGAAGGAATTAGCTTAACTTAGCATACAGACTGGAACCAGGGGGGAAAAACTGTCTCTGTCACTAAAGTTAAAGAAATACGTGTAACAGCAACTTTAAAGCTTACAAATGAACAAATATCTTGTTCATAAACAGAAACAACATAGAGGTGCCAGTAGGCATCTTTTTGGACAGAGCCAGGCTAGCCATTTCCCTGTTTCCAGTCTTTATGCTAGGCTAAGCTAATTGCCTCTTAGCTGTAGCCATATATATCGACATGAAAAGTTGTGTCGATCCTTTTAACTCACTCTCGGTAAGAAAACAAATCAGAGGGCAGACTAGTGTAAATATTGCTCTTCATCTGATTTTTACTTTCATTAGCAACAAAGAACCAAGGATCTACCACGGCTGTAACATTGTCATTGATAATACAGCCAGGATTACTGAGCAGCTGCTTTGAAAATCAATGTCAAAGTATTTCTATGATAGAAGCTTAAAAAGTAAAGTACTGAGTAAATATTAGTACATTAGACTGGGAATGAGAGACTCGAATTAGCAATAAACTCCTAATGTTCACAAAGTCAGGAGCGGCGACTTAGCATTTCTCTAAGTTAAAATCCTAAGTGTGCTGTGGACCCTCTAGGCATTTTTATGTGAATAAATGTGTTCAGTTCTGGGACTTTAAATAGCAAAGCTGTTATGCTGGGCACCTTCATATGAGGGTTGGCTTTTCAAAATGCTCCTAAATGGAATATCTCACAACTAAATAAAATGGCTCTCTATGTGCTTTGTATGGGGAAAACTAGACTTGGGTGATGAAATCAAAACACTTGACTGAAAGAAGAGATGCCTCTAGATTAAAAAAAAAAAAAAAAACTGTCAGAGAGGTGGCTACAGCTGAGATAAGGTTGCTCTAAAAATCAAGATATGTATACAAAAGGTATGCAAAAAAACACAACTGGAGGATATTAGAAAATATATTAATTTCTCTTAAATAAAATTACACTTACTGCCCTTTCTTCAGAGTGTACCTGACAATGTTTTGTTTGGAGTAACAGTCATGAAAGCATGATTGAAGCACAGGAATATAGTAAGACAGAAGGCAAATGTGTTTTCTTTTCTCCCCTTTTTCCCCTCAGATGTGTTCTTTAACAGACATATGCATGTAAGCTGTCCCCCAAGAAGAAATATGTCAGTCCCTTTGGTTTCTAATGGTTTAATGTTATAAACACACTAAAGATGGAGTCCTTGTTGGCGCGGTTGCTGAGGTGCTGGCAGGGCTGCTGGCGCTGTGATGGTCCAGGCTCGTTCCACATTCTGGTTTGGACTGAAGAGCTCCAACTCGTGGCCATGGTTGTGTGACCCAGACTGAAACACAGATCAATGTCCAAGGCTCATATTCTAGACAGACGCCCTTAACCTCAACCCTGTCAGATCTGTTCAGACCTGGAGATCCACATCCAGACCACAGCTGAGGTCTAAATCCAACCTGATCCCAGGCAAAAGCTTATTTTTAGCTCAGTGCAGCCCAGGTATGGCAACACTGCTGTCTGATGCTGCCTTGTTTTATTCCTGTTACCCCCCCCCCCCACGCCCGCCCCCCAACACCAGCCACAGCAGACATAGAAAGATAAAATCCTGCATATTTTTGTCAAAGCCCTTCCCTTTTCTACTTTTACAGTCTGTGTGGATCTCAGGAGTGAGTCCAGCTGACTGGAACCCAGTGAGTCTCCGTCTCCACTTTCTTAAGTGCCAACCGCAGCTCGCTGAATGCTGTAGAGAGATCATCGTTGACTATGACCTTATCAAACAGATGGCCATATTGAGTCTCCATCGTTTGGGCAGTTTTCACCATCTCCTGAAAGTCCTCCTCCTGCAGTGCATGAGAGAACAGAGAGGAGAAAAGAAGCAGAGATATATGCTCAAACCAAAGGCCAAACAGTTCATTTCAGGCTGCCTATCTGCTGCACGGAGAAAACACTGGCCACAGTAAACAAGAAGGAAGATAAATTCACATACTGTTAACACAAATTACATGGCCTTGAACACGCAAATAAACACAAAGTGGCCCGTATGGAGCCCGTTATAACCTCACAGAGACATGGTACCCACACATGAACCCTGGCACAGACCATGCACTAAAACCTCTCCATAAGACAACCTGACCTCAAGGAATTTTCATAATTTCCTCCATCGAATACACACGGTTATCCAATTCACAAAGAAAATAAAATATCCTCAAAATAAGCGAAGGACAAAACAGAACCATCATTTCCAAAACACAGACATGTAAAACATATATTATTGGCAGTCTGGATTTTATATGTGCCATGGAGAAATGACAGCTTGTGGTGACACAGGTCCACTGTGAGATGTGGGAGCTCAGACTGTGTGAACCTGCTGCACCCTGCATTGGCAGTACAGGCCAGCAGAGATACAACAGATGATCTCATGGTAACAAAACAAATAATCTATATCTAACATGGAAAATATGTTGCTGTGGTCAACAAAAAAATTACACTTAGAAATGACAAATTATTATTATCTTGGATGACAAAGGCCACAAAGAAAGGGATGATGAGGCTTCAGAAACTACAGTAGCTAACCTGACTTACTATCATTTGACTCTCTGAAAATTGTATTTAAATGTCGTTTTTATATTTTGCTTTCATGTTTTATGTAAAGCGCTTGAATTCCCTTGATTCCCTAAATATGCTTGGATTATTTAGGCAGGGTCTGTAACATAGACTTGGTGTGTTTTTGTGGTAACTGACTGAGCCCACACAAGCAACGCGAATTGGGCTTTAGAGGGCTTAGGGGCAATGGCTGTTAAATTAGGTTATACTTTACTAATTAAGTGGGTGAAGTGATGAGCTAGTACACAACATATTACGAGCTAGGGTTAGCTTTGATGACTAAATCTATTTGTTGTGCAGGTTTAGTGAGACATCCATTTAAAAGAGTGTGCCTTATCAGCATAAGAAGAGGGAGCTTCATAAAATTGTTGCATACTGACATGGAGGCTTCCAGGTGGATGAGAAGTTTTCCAAGTAAATGTGCAAATCAGTTGTCCAGTGTAAAGAATAAAACCACATGCTAACTGTCAGAATGAGCCAAATGACATATTTTTAATCAGGTTGGAGGTAAATATTGCCTATCTGTGGTTCCTGTATTCACAGATAGAGTATTCTGAAAGACCCCACGTATCTCTCCGCGGTGGTCCCCCTGGGGCTTTCTGGTTTCAGCTGTGTGGGCTCTGGCTGATCCTGACCTCAGAGCACCAGCAAGGCTAAAGTGGCTGCACTGATTTAGCCTTATGTTTTTACTTGGAACACTCAACTTTAGATTTCTGAATAGATATGGTTTTATAGTGAACCCCTTTGCCAAACACACAATTATAAATACACACAGATGCACATTTATGCACAGAAACTCAAACAAACATGCACACACACACACACACACACACACACACACACAGGCAGGATGAAGAGTGTGTGCATACAGTGTGTACGCACATAAACACGGCCTCGTTAAAGTTTAAAACTCCTAAACGGCTCAATTTTTAGAGACGCTCCTTCTAGCCAGGACTTACTTCAGAATGTTTCTGGTGGTTTTCCGCTTCATAATGGATTCGCTGCGCAGCTAAATATAAACACTCACTCGCTGTGACAGTCAGTAAAAGCCCTGTCTGCTTCTTTTTTTTTTGCCGGGCTGTCTCGCGTGTATCTACCTTACAAAAATCGAGCCACGCTTTCTCAGTCCCTATTGTCTTTTGTGAGGAAGATGTGATGATTTTATCTGCCTGTGTGTTAGAAAATGACAGGGAGAGGACGGGCTGTGACGAAAAGACGGTGCAGAGAGGGCAGATGGTTTGTTGGCTTGTGGAGAAAAGTGGGACTATATTCTCTATCATCTGGACCAAAGCCCGCCGCAGGACTTCCACTGTTGGACCAGGACCTACAGATGACCACTGTCTGCCAGGAAGACAACTCCTCTGACCTGTCCTGGCTAACTAAATGAACCTCGGAGACGGAGTGCTATTTTGTATCTATGATGTTTCCATGTCCACCAGCAAGTCTCTGTGTCTGCCTCTAGTAAGACCATTCCAGGTAAAGGAACATTAATCACAACAGGAAGCGGCTTAAGGGACAGCAACCTGGGTGGAGAGATGGAAAGAGAATCAAGAAACAGAGTAAGAAAATAATAAGATAGATGTAGGATTAAATAAAAGGGGCAGAGAGATGAATATAATAAAAGTAAAAGAGGCAAATGGAAAGCTGAGTGGATATTCTTGGCATCCAGTGATCCGTGCTCGATCGCTCTCCTCAGAGGGCAGTTTGAGCTGATGCCACTTCTGGAGGGCCAGACTCGGGAAGAAAAGCACCGGGGACTCATTTATCTCCACTGCCATTAGATTGCTTAATTTCCACATGAAGTGATGTAGCGTCTTGTGCCTGTTTAAGCACTTTTTTCTAGCACAGATAAATGGCGTTCACTGCACAACATGAGGCTATCGACTCTCAGGTTGGTTTTACCACTGGTGTGTCTCTGTTACACATTTTATTCGAAGTGATGTTTTTATGGCTTGTAATTTTATTGTTTTCTTAATTATATTTATTATATGTGTGATTTTACTGTGTCCGATATACTGCAGATTCTGTCCAAAAAGGAACGTTCCCCTTATGTGGACTATAAATCTTTTCAACACTTTAGTGGCACTAAATGGCATGTGTCAGCCTCAGGTATCTTCTTATCCCCCCAATAAAACACACCTGTCCTCTCTATATTTAAATAAGCATTAAAAAAACAAACAGATCTTCACAAATTAGTTGTAAATGATTGTGGTATATCACATAATGTGCCATTTTCTGGACTTACCACATTACAACAATTCAATTCAATTATGCATTAGGTCATCCTGTTTTTGCTTGTTTCAACTTCATCCTTCGGCTCCTTTTTTGAAAACTTTGAATCATCTCCAGCTAAAACAATGAGGCTAAAGGCAGAGCGCTCTGCTGAAACAATGAGACGACTGTTCCTGAGCCTTTATCATTAAAGCAGACCTGTCTTTCTGACAGAAATACAGCTGGCGGTGAATAGAATATGTCTGAGACGACTCACCCGACAACAGCTTCTCTTTCAGAGCCATTAATAGCAAATCTGAGGTGGCTTATGTGCTGTCACTGTTCGTGAACATTTACACAGAACCTGGTTTGTTACCTGGCTAAAATATGCCTCCTTGTCAAACAGTTTTATAGAGGTGTATTTGTATTACTTGAGAGAGTAGCAGAAGCTAATAAAGGGGCCGTGAGTAATAGAAGCAACAGCATGGATTGTTCGCAATACTCCTGTTTCTGACAACTAAAGCTCATTGTTCTCTGCACCCCTGCTGGGAAACGAGGAGCAGACGGAGACAAAATTTTATTTCACAGTGTGACTAATGCAAGCTGACTTTGTGTCTGTATGGGGTTTTTAAAAGTTTGACAGTGAAGTAAAACATCTACGAGATGTTCTGAGTCTGAGCCGACCTTCAGCTGTGACCTAGCTGCGTGCTGTACTGTATGTATGATGGCACCTACAGGTGTGTTTGACTGAACACAGCCAACATGCGAAGCCGGTGGATGACTCTTGGGAAAGAACTGCGCCGTTAGCCCGATCATACTGACTCGCTAATACAACTATAGATCAAAACAGGACATCAGCTTCTCAGTGTAAGAATAAGATTCTGTGCACTAACTTGCGATTCTATATTCTTTCAACCTGATAAGATTTAGCATTTAAGGTGGGTAAGCTTAAATCTTATTTCATGAGACCTGGTGTATTTGTGTTTGTAAAGTATTATGAATGTGGTAAGTTTTAACCAGCATTTTGGCCTAGGGGTGGGAGTTGAAGGCCAGTGGAGGGGAAAGTAAGCGGGAGGTGTGGAATATGTAAAATTTTAGTAGTCTGTATTATTTGCACATGTTTTCAATCAAGAAAAATATAAAACATTCATGAAACTCCAGCAGACGCCTGTTCACACCCCATCACCTCCTCCACTCTTCCCTTTCTTCACTCATCCTTAAGATGCTAGTTTGCGGTCAGCCAGTCTCCATGTCTTTGAAAGCATTGTCTCTTTCTCAGCTTCCCTCTCTCTTTATGTTTCCTAACTCCTGGTGTGCCATCAGGCTGTCGCGGATGTGTGCTGACCAGGATCTTGGCCTTACCGCAGCCTGAGGTGAGCGAGACATGCGAAGCAAGCGCCCGGGCTCGGTGGGGCTGGGAAAACCATCATCCACCCCCACCCCTCCACCCGGCAACTTCACAGCAGCGCCAAACGCCAGCTAATTGGTTTCATCTGTGTCCCCGTCGGGCTTGGATAAAGGTGTGTAAAGGATGACCTCATCAGTCACATACTGTGCACACAGGGTCCAGATAGTGTTTCTGTTATTTCTTCTGCTGCTAATCTGTCAGCTGTAAAGCCATGTGTTGGTACAGTATAACACCATCACATCGTTGGACTGTGTGTTCCCCAGCTACATCCTTCATATCCTCATTTTTTCCCCAATATACATGTCAGCATCTTATACAGTCATTGCATGATCCCAGTTTTTGACCATAAAACTTAATGAATAAATATTTTTCACTGTTTGACTATGTTTGGACACTGCTGTTGTGAATTTGTTCCGTCCTGTATGTTTAATATTTCCCTTTATCTGTCCTTAATGTATATTCTATTACCTGTATCCTGTTATTTTCTGCAGTGGTAATACAATTTCCTAACAGGGGTCATTAAACTTTCATTTAACTTGATCCAATCTGAACAGCCTTTACAAATCAAGTTTCATCAAGTCTGTTAGCAGCTCAGACATATTTTGAATTGATTTCCTGTGATTATCTAAATCAAGTCGAACCTGACATCTGGCACTTTAAATAACTGTAAACAACATGTGTTGATCAAAAACCTTCTCATCACATTCTCTTACCGTGAATGGCTTGGCAGATGCCTTGTCGTCTTTGCCTGATATGATTTTGGCCTTCTGTCTGGTCTCCCTCAATCTCTCAATCGTAGGAGGCTTCACAAACACCACAAAGGGTTTAAACTCTGCCGTCCGCAGGTGCTTTATTGTCTGAACAAAGAAAAAGGAAAACAAATATTAATGTCAAAGTAACCTCTGACAGAAATACAGTCACTGGAGAAGAAAGTCAGGGTTTTCTGATTAAACGGCAGCGGACCAAGATCCACTCAGACCCAAAAAACCAGACTGGGCCCTACGGCGGGTGCGCTGATCGCTCAGAGGAGAGGAAAGAGAGCTGGAAAAGGAGGCATGTTGGCCCAGCTTGGACTTAAGGCTGCTCCTATAGGTCCAGTCTGAGCGAAATGTTGGCAAAGCGACAGAAATCAGTGACTGTCGAGCCCACATCTTTACAGAGACCTGCCTCATCAACATCCCGGATCAAGTACTCGGCAGGTGGTCCGTGTTCCAAGCTGTCAGCGCAAGACTCCAGCCAAGATGAGAGGAGGCGGACTCCGTGTTTCCAATAGATGATGCTTGGTGCTCAAACACAGTCAAGATAGACTCGGTTTCAAAGAAAAAAGAAACAAAACTAAGGCTGCTATTTCAAAGTTAAAAAAATGTGTCTTTTCCTAAACACTTCCTTTACCTCGATGAAATATTACAACGTTTTGAGACTGGATTACATAAAGTATGCTGAAGGAGATAAGAAAGGAAGCATTGGAGCACCTTTCCTTAGCGTTTAGAGATCTCGACCAGCTGTTATAAGATTGTATTACAGAGTCCATATCGGCAGATGAAGTTTGCTTAGTTTTCATTTAACTGTAGATGTTCAAACTTTCCCTGATCCTGCGCACGTCTTGTTCACTTTTTTGTTTACATATTGTATCTAAGATTTTGCTCTAAATTTTGCTTGTTTTATTGATTATGAAATTAATGGATCCTTAGACCTCTAAAGATTGAGAGTGAAAAACATTACTGTTTGGCTAACTGGGTTGCTGAGTTTTAAGGGGTCACAAGCCAAAAAGCACATATGGTTCTTCTAGAAGACAGTGGAGGATACAATTCTTTCCACATCTGCTCAGCCTTCTTGTCTGTTGTGACAATCACATGAAACACCACCACCAATCCGGTTCTCAAGAGGTAGAAGAGAGGTCAGAGTTGGTTAGTGGTGGCGTCAAGCTACAGGCTCTCCTCTGGTTCTGGCACCATGATCAGGGCTTCTCACTGTGCTAATAGGCAGTGCATACAAATCCACAACTGATAGGAAGATGGAAAAAAAAACCAAAGGAGGGGCAGGAAAAGAACCACTGGGAAGCGTTCCTCTAAGCTCTCATCAGCTGCTTACAGAGTCAGCATGGGAGCAATAACATGCTTTGACACTGCTACTGATCTGACCCATCAGTCAGAAAATGAACCCATAGTGGAGGTAGGGGAAAAGACTATTGGTCTAACCAACATCACAAATGTACGCCAAAACTCCTTCATACGCGAATGCACAAGCACCCACATGAGCTTTCAAAGACTTTAGCTGAAGGCTCTGGGGCTGACGTTGTTGCTCAGGCCGGGGTGGTTTGAGAACATGCCAGGCTAATCTATATAATGGCGTATTTGTGCCTGTGTGTCATTATCCACTGAGCAAAAACAAACAGAGGAACTGGTAGGGCAGAGGCTGGACGATACAGGACTGGCCCTGGATTAATGGGAATAGCGCTCAGGGGTTTGGGCTCAGTGACAAGCCGGCCATTTGTGTGGGGTATGATCGCCACCACCCAAGACACATAAGCCAAAGAGGAAATCTTCAAATAGAGGTAATTAGCAGTAATTGCTCCCCTTAAAATGCCCCCTTTAAAACCCGCTTCGGTAACCTAGTAAGCAGCCAAGGACTCATGAAAGCCAGGGAAGAGAGAGATCTGCTTCTGAGATAGGTAGGGACAGAGGTGATGAAGGGCTAAAAATACAGGGAATTGAAGGATGGTGAGATTAGAACGGGATGGAGAGGAAGGATTTGAGTCACTCACATGGGGCTGGACATCCAGTAGGCACACTTTATTCTTGGAGAGGACGGAGCGTATCGAGTCTAGACTTGTCCCGTAGTAATTCCCTTTGTACTCGCCATACTCGATGAACCTGAGGGGTGATGGAAAGAGATTGAAAGATAGGGGAGATGAAAAGATTGTTCAGCAGGAAAACACCTTTTTTGATAATTTTTGTGCAGGGATTAGTATCTAATGAAACACTAATGTCCCTTGTGAGTAACATCAGAATCTCATCCAAATCTGGTTGACTGTCGCAGCACACTCCTGACATTCATCTTAGAAATAATGCTATATAAAAACCCTACAAATCCACAGAGACAGGAGGATTACTCTTTCAACCACTGACAGATCTGAAGATAGTATTCTCTAGCAGAACGTAAAAACCAGACGTTTTGGCCGAGTGTGATTTTATATAATCTCCTATGCTACCCTTTCAATCAGTAACACCTGTTTGTTCCAGAAAGACCACAGAGCCCCTGAATGCCAAAACCTTCCCTCCTTTAATCCACAAGTATTTTACCTCAGCAGGCAACTGTGTGATGCACAGGCAAACAAACACTTTTCCACCAGATAATCTTCTCTCTTTCACACCAATTAGCTGTCATGAAAAAAAAAAAAAAAAAAAAACCCACCAGTGTATTTTTAGCTGAAAACAAGGAGGAAAAAAGGCAGCGAGGAGAGTAACGAGGTGGAAAGAATTTGAAGCTAATAACAGTGCGTGGTATGCTTGCAGTCTGCTCATGACGAGGGTCAGACAGAATGACTGCCTCTGTGTGACTGATGCCATGTAAAAAGAAGGTTTTATGATAATTGCCCGTGTTAGAATATTTTTTAAAGGAAGGGATGCTTAAGTCTCTAACAAACCTCATATTCAGTTATGGAAAATTCATTTACGAGCTTACAGTAGCCCATGTTTAAAAACTCACACCTTGCATTCTGCGCTGTTTGTCGTCAGAAGAGAAGGTTTATAGATTACAGTAAGACATGCCAGTGGAGGTTTGGCTATATTAAGAGTATGGATTGTTGCCATTTTGACACAGAACAGGGCTTCCCTTGGGAAAGTTGTTCAAGCTAAACACACGTTGTTGTGGCCCTTTTTATTTCTGTACAGAGCGCATTGTTTGTGCTGCATGCAATGAGGCACAATGCAAACAAGTTGATCTCACTCCTCGTCGACTTCGCTGCCTTGTAATTTCAGCGTGGAGTGTCCCACGCATCCACCCCACATCACAGTTCTGTCACTCACCCCTCCGACTCCCCAAAAAACATTGCATGCCTCGATCTACACCGCAACACAGCCTAAATATACAGCTCCCCCCCTTTCCCTTCTTCAAGCTGCATGCTCTGACACTCTATATGCACACACCACCCTAGGCTTCCCTCTGTCAGTAGTGGATGTTTGTGTGTGCGTAAATGTTTTGCAAGTGCACCCTACAGTGTATCTTTTCCCCCCCCTTCCAGCTTGTGTGAGACCAGCAGAAAGGCATCAATCATTCTTATGACTATTACAACTTGCATTTCAATTTGTTGGCCACAAATGTCATGGCGGGCTGCGGTGCGGATGGATTCAGAGAAAGCGCCTAAGGAAAGGAGGAAGCAGAGACAGGAGACCTTGGGGCCACTGTCTGGAGATCCGTTACCAACACAGGGCTCGGCCCTGTCAACACCAGCTCACACTCGGTTACAGAGACACACAGACGACAGCAGGGAGGCTGTGTTTTAACAGTGGCAGCAAGCACTGGACCAGTCAGACCGCTGCACTGCCTCTTAGTGGTCCACAGCACAGATAGAAAAGGATTATGTTGTTTTCAGGTTTTTTGTTTTGTTAAACTTTGAAACAGCAAACACTACATTAAATATTTTACATACTTGATTGGAATACATGCAATTCCTTATAATGTGATTAGGCCTAAAGATTAGTCCATTAATCCAGTAGTTGAGGTCAAAGGCCGCCAATCATTTAGATTAATTACTGGTTTATGTCATTTATAAAGTAAAAATGCTAAACATTTGCTACTTCCAGCTTTGCAAACCTGAGGATTTGCTTCTTTTCTGTGTTACATGTTATTGTATATGAATAAACTTCACTATTAATCGAAAAATCAGAAAAACAATAATTTTTAAAAATCATTATTTAAATGACTATAATTACATAGATGTAGTATTAGGGCCACTGTAAAGGAAAATATTTTCAGAAAATGTATTGTTATGGGAATAAAATCTTAATATTATGAGATATTCCTCCATCTAGTTAAGAGGAGTGGATGGAATGTGGCTGACCTGAAGTTATACATTTCAACAATAAGCACCTCCTAATAATACAGTATATTCAAATCAAAACTAATTACATGATGTATGAGTTGCGATAGTGTTTTGTAGCAGCGGCTGGAACACAGTGGGGACTTGGTGAGGACAGCGGAGCCAAAGGCCACAGAGACCAACACACATTCATTGTATTTGTTGTATTTATAAAACACAACATTTTGTTTTCTAAATACAACAAACACCTTCTCTTCATACTATAACTTTACTCTACCATTTTCCTCCATAATTTGGTGGACCTAACATGGGGCGAGGCACAGCATGCAGCACAAGATAGGTCTTGGTGGAAGCAGATTGTCAAAGCCAGGATCAGGGATGAAGAGGAGTAAATGTGTCTTTATTATCCACTGAAATAATTGGAGTCATGAATAATGGATTATATTATAATTATTAGCATTTGATGACACTAGAATCAACTTCATGATCCATCATGATCAAGGCAGTGTGGAAAATGTTTGTACTGCAAAAAAATCTTCATCTTGCAAAGTAATTGTAGTCTATTATTATGTTCTCTTAAGACAAGAAGGATTTTTTTCATGTTTTAAGTGAAGAAATTAAGTAGTGAAGACTCAAAAAGAGATAAAAATCCTTTTGTAGTTGTTTTTTTCCTTTACTTATACCAGACAGAGTTGTGCCTACTTGTTGTTGTGGATATCCGTCTCAAAGAGATGTTTGGAAATGAAGTAGTACTCTACGCCGTCATTCTCCTGGTTCCTCTTGGCCCGACTGGTGTCTGAGGGAGAGGAGAAGAGAAGCAGTGATTACCTCAAACCCAGACTGTCTGACTCACTGTTGGGGCTGAAAGCATCTGAACTGAGCCCCTTATTAACATCGCTGGAAGTCTGAAACACAGCACGCTGGGCCATGCCAACCCTTGTATATATTATTGTGTAATAGCTCTATAAAATACACAACCTGTAGCGCTGCAGCACTAAACTCAGACACGTAACTGACATTCAGCAGAGGTTTACTGTGTCTTATTAAATTTGTCTCTTCTAATGTGGCTGCAGTGCCCGTAGGAACAGAAGCTGTAGCGTTAGCCGGCAGTGTTAGCCGCTGTAAGTTAATTGAGTTTGGGAGCTCATTAACATCAAACCTCTACATTTACTTGGCCATAAACCATAAAGCCTTAAAATACGTAAAATGGGCGGAGGCGGCAGCACGTGGAGGGAACGTGAGCAGGCAGCTCTGGTGGATTTGTAAGGGTCAAGGGGTCGACTCACTCTCCGACTTGTTTCAGGAGTGCGTCAAAGGTCAGAGGGGAGAAGTGTACACCCGTCAGACACTCTGATCAGCTCCAAAACAAACTATTAAACTTTTATCACCTGCAACCACAAGGGCCAAGTTCTGCTTTACTCTCCTCTGAGTTGTTCTTTTCGTCAGCATGTGTTGAGGCTGTGCCCTGGTAGTGGACCAGTGCCTTTTCTTTTTATGGTCCAGACTGATCTACAGGGTTCATGGAAAACCAATGGTGTGATTTATACAATGTGTCACTTGCTTGAGGAGGAAAGACAGCTATAAATCCAGCTGTGGTGGAGAAGACACCGAGGAAGATCAATGACTTTCTGTCATCAGCCGCAGAAAAAAGTAGGAATAGCACAAGGAAAAGGCCAAAACAGTCTTGTCATAAGATAACATATACCCTCCCATTCAGAAATGTGTAAGACACAGTGCCAAACAGCCCCTCGGTAGTTAGACCAACACCATCCACCATGGGTTATTTTGGCATGTGTTTTGTGGCACAGAAAATAATTACAGTGCAACAGAAGAATGTGCATCCGTTCAATCCCAAATCATGGAAAATATCAGTCAACTTGGATTGGAATCAAAATGTTTAACCCCCTACTCTAATGGCTTATTGCAATGCTCTTTATGTTTCTAAGACGCCTGGTTTACATTTTACAGCGACAAGCAGAGGGAGAAAGTGAGAAATAAACCCAACCCAAATCTTAACTGGGACCACAAGCCGGTGGTCTCCAAAGCTCCAGTGTTCAAATTAACAAAAAGGGGTAACGCTTTCGGGCTTAATCTGAAACAACAGCAAGTGTTAAACACATCCATGTGTCCATTGGCAGCAATCAGACATTAAAAAAAGAGGGAGACGAGATACTTTCCGAGTCTCTTTCCTCTCAATGAGAGCCAGGACTTGTGCCATACGTCTTCTATATGGGTCAGAATCAGGCTGTCTGGGCTCTATTAAACACAGCCTCACAGGTCACATTTGAGAACAATTAACATGCCTTGTGGAAAAAAAGCCCTACCAATGGGATTTTAATACCAGGGACATTTCAAGTGTCAGACTTTGTCAAGGACGCATCCATTATGCCACACGGCATGTACCAAACACGGCAATTAATAACAATGGTCCTCATATTTCCTCAGACTCATGTTGCGGTTTCCCTCCAAGCCCCAGATGGTAACTACACAATTAATAATGCCATTGCCCTGCTTAAATGTATAAATCAAAAAGATGTATTTGTCCCAACACGCTGGCTTTGGGACATCTCAGGACTCCAAAAAACAAAAACGCTTGCAAGGCTTGGAGAGCCAGTAGTTTGCAGCGGTGCTGGATGGTGTTCAGAATTATGGCGAGCTGTCGTTGGGTTCTTAAAATGAGAAAAAGGGAGGAGGCAGCGGTGGAAAGAGACAGAAAGAAAGTGAGAAATAAACAGAAAGAAAGGAGAGTGGGTGACTCTGCCAATTTGTGAAGCAGTGGAATGGCATGTCTTCAGGAGGTAGAAAAACGCAGTTTCCTCCATCATCCTGGGCTTGTCAGGCAGACTGTGAAAAGCTGACAGTCACACAGGAGGAGAAACAAACGCCTGGACCTTGAGAGGACCAGCCATGCTGCCTGAGAGTTGCCCCGGGTTTACTCACTGCCAGACAGCTCCCTTTGTGTGGTGTGTGTCTGTGTGTGTCTCAGACTGGACCTTCATCGCTCAAACAGGACGAGCACCCTCACACGCTGTGAAAACTAAACTGGAACAAGAAAGCTAAACATCCTTCACCTAAAGTGATTATTTTGATTTGTTGCTAAAAAAAAACCACAGGGTGCACTGGGGCCCTGTGTAGTCAGAATGTGCTCTGGCATCTTGCGTGCTTACATTTCTCTGAGAATGTGTTTCCAATGTGTTTGTCTGTGTGGACAGATGTAAAAAAAAAAAAAAAAAAAAAAAAAATAGGCTTTTTGGGCACAAATGGATTAGAGTAGAGAGGGAGGCAACTTATCTCCATGACAACACAGCTGTAGTGTCAGATATTTACTGTTCTTCCTCCAGAGAACAGCAGCTCACTGACAGGTAGCACTGATAAAGAGAAATGCTGTAGACTTTATGTAGTTTGAAGTGTCTTCTCTTTTGCTTATTTTATCTTTCTGAGCATCTGGATGTTTATAGTAAGTTGTCCTGAAGTTTCACCAGTTATACTGAGAGTTCACTTACAGCAGGACATGTTTTGAACTACAGAACAAGACAAACTCCAAGACAATATAGAAGTAAAGATTTGGCTCGAGCGTCCTGGGGGACTAGTGGTTAAGATGCATGCAACATCCCTGGTTCAGTACTGGCTGGGGATTATTTACATGTCATACCTCTCTCTCTCCCCACTGCCTGTATCTCTACTCCCTATCAAAATAAAAGCAAATAAATAATCTTTTCTGTAGTAAAAAAAAGCCAGACCTGAGAAAAAGTCTCTAAAATAGCATTTGTATGTTAACATCACATCCTAATTTCTGTTCTAATTAAGCCCTATTACACCACTACCTTATTAAACATTTTGAAAGTTTTGTTAGCCTTGCATCTGGCTTTCTTATAAACTGGTGTGAATGCAGCATGTGGAGAAAACCAAACGGTGTCTTCATTCCCTTTAAATGTTATTTACCAATAAATAGCAGATCTGAAACCATGGTCTGGTAAAAGGCTTGTGGCGGACACAATGTATCAAACACACATTCACACAGATACAAACAGATACACAGATAGAAAAGTAAAAACACACAGAGAGGAAAGATTGGAAGACAAATGGAATCTGCTAGATGATTCTCAGTTACTGCTACTCAAGTCACGGCTTGAAATAACCTGATTCAGATGAGTGAACTTACGTGGGATGGTCACACTGAAGTGCTGGGGGTCTGAGATCAATAGTTTCCTCTTAAGCTCATTCAAGCCAATTCCTGTAGGTCCTGCCCAAAAACAAACAAACAAACAAAGCATGAAAATGACAGAAGTCTCAGATTACAAGGTACAAGGTAGTTTTATTGCCATATTACGAGAGGGTTGTAAGATAAGATGCAGTTTGTAGTTCCCTATATGCTACAAAGCAAACGATATATTCAAAAGTTATATAATCATATACAAGAAATAAAATATTTTGCATGGTGCAGTACTGGGAGTAGGAAAGTTCTGCAATCAGACAAAAGAGAGAACCTGCCATTCAGAATGTATTCCCCTCTTCACTTCATGTAGAAATGCCAAGGTGTTAGTTGGAAAGAGACAATACTACAGAACATGAAAAAATATGTCTCCCAATACAGACTTTACAAATTGTGTTTTATTGAAACTTTAAATCACATAAAATCAATAAAAAACCAAACTCTAATCATCATGCATTATCAAAATGAACATTCAGTATTATAGACACATTAAAGGTACTCTCCAGCAATTTAGTACAACATTTCCATAAAGCTGAGGGACTCAAAAGAGACAAAATGAGGCTAAAAAAAGACTTGAAAAAAAAAGAATGGTCAAAATAGATAAATAAAGTCTTTTAAAGTAATTTAACTTGATAGCGTCGACACTTCCTGCCTGCCAAACAACCATGTCTTTTTTACACATTTTTATAGTTTGAGCAGTACTCATGATGAATTAACTGAACTTGATGTGTAAAATGTGGTGTGTCCCTTTAAACAAGCAATCAATACAGTACATACATACAGTACATTACAACAATACACCGGCTGATGATAATATATTACCGTCATTATTATTACTGTGGGAGATGTGGTATAAAAAGTAGTTACATATCTAACATTATATTATTTTACATTGCATTATATTGCTAATATCACTATCTACTTTAATATATTACTAGGTCTATTGTACCTTATCAAAGTTATATTTCATGTTGTTTTCTTCCTTTGATTTATTTCATTCAACAGTTCTTTATCTGTCTGCTAACCTCTTGCCTGTCTCTGTGCTGCTGAAACATAAATTTTTCCATCTGCGATAAATAAAGTTTGATCTTATCTTATCTTTATTTTTCTGTTACAGTGACTATGCGTGCTGTACTAAGACCAGTGCCTCTGTTTTTTCTCTTCTCTTAGAAAAGGAAAATCTTGTTATATAATATTAAATCAATTTACCACAGTGAGAATTACATTTCATACTTTATTAAAACACAATCAACCCAGTGAAAAAGTATTTTGGGCTAAGATATTTGATTTACTGCGACAAAGCTACAGGAATGCTACAGTTTTTAATCAGTTCCTCTCATTGTAGTTTGGCAGAACATTAAACCTCCAATATACAAGATACGCTGTAGAGGTATTCTCGTGTTGTCATAAGTCAGCTGCATTTTTCATCACATCCCCAGTGGGGAAACTAAGGCGATGACTTGGAGAGAGGAAAGCAGGAGAGACTATTGGAATATTGACCACTGATTCATCTGGGGCCCCAAAAGCAGAGCAATCCTCCAGCATTTCATATCTAACTCTCCAACATGTAGAGATGGTAAAGTTCAATCACACTGAACTAATTAATACAGAAATATGGCAGTTTGGGAACTATTTTGAACAGATATCATAAACACACAGTACTACTGAAAGTCCAATTATGATGCAAAAATGCAGTTAGGACCTGTAAAGATAAAGACTGTTAATTGTTTACACTGGTTTTGGTTTAGTGGAAGTCAATGAATCAATATCCAAATGTTCTCTCTGTTTTCCCTTTGACCACTTTTCTACTCTGTCTCTCAAAGCCATTCTCCAGTGTTCTGGTGGTTGTTACCAGGGTGCTACATCATCCTAATTTGAACCGACCAGCATCAGTGTCTTCGCCGAACTGGACAAGAAGACGGTTTTGGAGTTACAAGTGCAAGGCTCTGCGTTTTAGTGTTTTACCCCAGCTCCGCAGCGTGTGGACAGTTTGAGACGGGGCTTGATCTGGGCTCGAGATTCCTCGCATGCCTGACGTTCTGGGCAGACACTACAATCGCATCAAACCCCATTGGAAATTCATTTCTCCAGGCAAATGTGTTTAGCAGGCCGCTCCTCTAAAACAAACGGACAATGAGTTCACTCAGCGATGTGGATTAGGTGGAAGGAGGGGGAGAGAGAGAGGGAGAAGGGGACGGAGGAAAAAAAATACTGAAAAGACAAACTCTGTATTTTTAAGAGAAAGACTGCTCCTGTTTCCTGTCTTGCTATCTGCACTGTACCTCTACATTTCATCTGGTGTGAAGCAGGAAGGTTTTGGAGTGATCCACAACCTGATAAATAGGTGTGGACAACAAGGTTCTTTTAAACATAATCTCTAAACACTGGCAGCCTTCACACACAGACAAATTCACACCCCATGCTTTCCCTTTACTTCTGCACCCAGAAACACATGGTTTGGGTCCTATTGTGCGACTGCTGTAAGTGATAAAAGCTGTTTCCTCAGCGTGCTGACACACTCTACTGTGAATTCAAAAACAGAGAAAGAGGAAAAAAAAAAAAGAAAATAGAGAAAAATACCCTGGCCCTCTTTGGACAGACGGTGCAAGGCATTTTGTGGTTACCGTCTCACATAAACAAGCACATGGCCAAGCGAAGACAGCAATCAATCTTAGCTGGGGGAGAAGGAGTTTTTCAGTGAGGAAAAAAAGTCAGAGAACCTGGGGGTTGAAAGTGTGGGTGATTTATTAAGATGAGGAAATGGAGTTCATTTTGAATTTGTTTCGGGAGCGCGGGAGGAATGCAGCGGTGCTGTTTGAACAAGGCTGTGGACCAATGTTGTTGTAGGTGCTGAAGGTGGCAGAGCGTAGTAATAGAGGCTCTTTTATGAGCCCTATCATAGTGGTGCAGACAGTCCTCCCAGCAGGCCACAAACCTCCACACAAGCTTGTTTGCTCGAATCTGAGCATGAATATCAGGGCCCCCGCACAGGGGGCCAACAGTGCCATTTGTGTTACCCTTGGTATGACTAACAGCCCCACTTCTGTGTGCTCGTAAAACCATTTTCACCTTGTACATCACTCCCTTGCTTGCCACTTGTGATATCAATGATGCATGGCAGCAGGCCTTCATCCGAATACCTTAGATGGCGATTAAAGCATATTCCAGCTGTACCACCGCCTGCCAAGGGGGCCCAACAGGCCCACCACCAGGTCTTTTATGAGCAAAAGCAGTGCCCTGTGGTCCCGTTCCACCGTCTGACCTTAAACACGCCATCTCTTTGTGTATTGTTTGTTTTAAACAATACCCCGATACAAAAGCAACATTATAAATCTGAACAGAACAATAAAAATAGGCATAACTCTTAAGCTGAAGTATTTACATTGTGTTTATGTGTTTTTCTCTCCCTCCATTTGTCTCTCTCGCTGGCCCTCTTGCGGGACTTCTGGCCTTGCAGATTGCTGTGCCAGTAAAAGTGTCAGACTTCATTACTGCACTCATTAGAAACGTTGTCTTTAATATTGTGAGCTTAATAACTTCCAGGCCAAGCATGGAGCACATTGCATGCAGTTTGTGCTGAGAGGGTGAGGCCAGGCCCGACGAGGCCCGGCTCTGGGCCCCAGAGCCTCGACCCAGCCTCAAACCTCCCCGCCTGCCTCATATCCAGGGCAGGGTATATTAAAGCGCTACACATAGTGCTGGCTTAGCTGCTACCACATTTAAAGGATGACCGTGGTGCAATGCGGTAACCACAGATCATTTACAATGCACTGCTACTACAATTTCAACAGGAGGGAAGTCTTCAAATAGGGTTCCAATTTTATGTAGCACACACACCACATAAACATTCACTTAGGCATCAGTGTATTTGAAATATGTTAGGGCTAAACCCCAAACTAAAAACTTTGAATTCATCAAAGTCTTACTGCAAGTTGAGTGTGTCAAGTTACAAGGAAAAGTGGAAATCAGCACACCATTTTGTCAGGTTAAATAATCAGATTTCTTTCAAAACCATCAGTTAAGTCCAACTGTGCATGCAGTATGTAAAAATATGTATATTTTTATTGGCCGTCTATCATCTAAAATGTATAAAAACCCAGATAAGCATCTTGATTTGTCTTTGAAACAGATCTCAGACTGCTCCATTTGAGTGCAAGAGGTGGGCAGCAGGTCATTCATTAGTGGGTACTGTGGACCTGGATGTTCTCATTATGAAGAAATGCCTTTGGCATTACTGAAAAGATTTTTCCATGTTAAAAACTGTAAATGGACTGCAGTAAGAACGATGCTTTTACTAACACCGAACTAAAACCAGAAACATAAGAGCAGAAGTGTAAAGAGTGGATTAGAGTGTGCGGTTATCTGCTCTAACATAAGTGGCAATAGTTAACTAACTTTCTGATTACAGTAGTTTATAAGCAACTTCCAAAGCTAAACAGCACATCATGTTATTATATAGGTTTACATAGAACATTTTTTCAGTAAGTCTTCAGAAAATATGAACAAGTAAGTAAGGTAAGCAGCTAGACAGGGTTATGTTGGGCTGACATAAAAGTCAGATCTCACACTAATACTAGGACTAATTAGCTATACTAGCGGGTTACGGATACGTGGTGTCGTCATAGACGCGGCACATTCATTTTTCCCTGTTCAGGTTCGTCACCTTCTCCATTCCTCTTTGACATTTTTACCACTAAACTTACTACCTCCTGATGGAGCTTACTACAGTTAAGCTAGATTCACATATTGGGTGATGAGACTATATATAGGGCCATATGAAATCTGTTTTTGCCAGATTCTGTGTTTTCCGTAAAAAAAAAATCTGAATTCTGTGTTTTACAATTTAAACACCTTTTTGTCATCAGAAAGAGTGTGTAATCATGTGGTGGGTAAATAAAATTTCAACAATTCAAAAAGAAAATCTTACAAATTTATTTATTTGATGTATCATTAAAATACTATATATTCAAATGCATGTGCAATTATTTATGGTGACAATTCACTCTTTCTAATGTGCCAACTCTCCGATATGACAGTGTGTGTCTGTGTGTGCAGCAGCCGCTAAGCCCCGCCATTTTATGTAGAAAAACAGCTTTATCTTGAGCGTTCGTTTTTAAATTTAAAAATTTTATATATATATATATATATATATATATATATAAATAATACACATATTTTATATACTCTCTTGTTATTCTTTTAGGGGGGGTGGCCAAAACAATGGTAGGGGAAACACTGAATGCTGCAGTGATCTGGAGACAGCATTCTCAGCCAACTCATTGTTTCAAAAATGGCAAAGAATTTTGAGAGGTAAATCTGCAAGAATTTCACTAAACTGAATATGTACAATGTGCTGGGATTGAAAAAAGGCAAGTGTTAAGGCAGAATGTTTTTTAACTAAACAACTTGCTTTTATAGATTAAATGGAGAGCAGATACTATTACCGGAAAGTGATTTTCTTAAGTGATGACAACACATGCCCTTCTATTAAGGAATAAAATGTCTCTCCCCTGAATAACATGAACAGGGAAGAGGAAATGGAGAGAGAAAAAAACGTCGGGAAGAAACAACTTCGAATAAGAACAATCAAGAGACTCCGGGGAGAGGAAGGAGGAGAGAGGGAGGCAGAGAAACATAAAGCAGATCTTTCCACGGCCCTCTGCTTCGTTATGTGTGAAATTGTCCATAGGTTGTCCTCCAAATTATGGAAGTTAATTGAAAATATTTACATTAGCATGACAGGTGGGAGAGGTTCAGCATCCTTTCTGTAAGGCTGTGACATTCTGGCAGGGAAATGGGGCTTTCTAATTAGCAACATGTCTGATGAAGTCCATGCTCTGTGTGGTGTATTTAAGTTAACCAAGGCCTGGTCCAATCAGGCTAGGAGCACACCTCTGCTGAGAGCATGAGTGAGGGAAAAAAAACCAACAACCTTGAGACCTTGTTGCCAGTGGTTTTCATTTCTAGATTAACACCACAAATGTTTAAAACTGCTGCTAATATATGAAATAAAAACACTGGAAGAGACTTTTGCGTTCTCATTCCTTGAGCACATCTCTTCCCTTGATAGATGGAAATAGATTGAAAGGGAATCGCACAGAAAATTTAGGGAATGTTTTGTTCCATCTGCGTCTGGGACATTCTTGTCATTTTTTGTTACGAGTAACAAACCTAAAAAGGAAAATGTGGAAAAGCCTAGAACTCACTGACGGTACAGTTGGTCCAAAGAAAGATTTAAGTCCTTACTGTTGCACCTGGCTTAGCATTTTGTTCCACCATTCACTGGCAACGCTTGTCTTCCAACCACAAATACAGAATGAGAAACCGCTAAATTCATTTCAAGACCTTGGCACGTTATAAAGCTCTTTGGAGGGCTTTGTAACACCCGCTCCTCGAAGGCAAGTGTTAACAATTCCATCGGCTCGAAAAATTGAAAGGACACTGAGAGTGAGGTGCCGTAAATGAAAGTACTAAATGTGACTGATTAATATGAGGTCTGCTCCGTCGATTCCACTGAGTGCTAAAAGTCTAAATTAAGGAGGCCCAGGATGACTGCGGGTGAGTCCCCACATTGGGAAGCTCATTTCTGGGTTGGGGGTCGTGGGAGGGCAAGGCCAGGCCACCTGGGGCTTCTGGAGCTGCAAAACTCTGAGTCATTTCTGTGATCTGTATGTGTCGCCGTGGATTTTTATTAAAATCTATGGTGCCAAGTTTAACAGCAGTAGAGCCCCCACAAATTTAAAAACAAAGAGTGAGGTAAACAGTGACATCAGAGGCATTTTCTGAGAAAGTGTTTAGAGTCCCCCTCTCTACTCACCTGCTAGGACCACCAGCCTGTGTTTAGCTCCACTCTGCCTACGGTGCGGGGCGACCTCCTCGTACGTGGGCACGTCAGCCATGTCGTACATTTCACTTTTCTTAGACTCGTACATGGACTTGTTGGTCTTCTTGTCCCTCCTGCTGAGACGGAAGCTTCTCCTGAACCCAGCTGGAGGTCAGGATGGAACAACAGAGGAACAAGAAAGGGGACAGAAAGAAACACATTAATCTAAAAATATACAAAAAAAAAAACCCTGTATGTGTGTTCCGACACGACTGTATGTGCACAATAGCACGCAGCTGTGCAATTCGATTTATGGTCATTTCAGTGTCTTGGCAAACACCTCCACAGCTTGATGTCCAATACCTCATATTGTATTGTGAGGCTCAGTTTTATGACAGCTATCTTTGCTGTAGGTGAAAGAAGAACAGTGCAACACTCGGCCAAACAGTTTCCTGGGTATCACACTCAAGCACTTTACTCACATTTTCCCCTGGTGACATGTAGTGGATTTTAATTTTCTTGCTTTGTGCACACATATATCTCTTGGAAACTGTGGTGAGGGTTTAAGGCTTTGACATTTGTGAAAAGCTACAAAACATTATTAGATGGATGTTTTCTCAGGGTTCATTGCGTGCAACGGAATAAACTAGATGTTCTTTTCATGTAATTAACTGCTAGAGTACATGCATTTCAGAATCAGAATCAGTTTTTTATTGCCAGGTATGTGTACACATACGAGGAATTTGACTCAGGATTGTACATTGCTCACGATGTGCTTACTTATGCAATAATACCATAACACAATAATAAAATAATAATAAAATAAAATCAGACACAAACTACAGAATAGAAACTAATATACACACTATGAACAAAACAATATAGACATATTGACAAATAGTGCAGGGAGCAGAGTGCAAAGGATGCAAGAGTAAACTATTTTCATTATAATGTTAGTGCTAGTTAATGGTTGTTCACATAACTGTCAGCCTATGATTTGCAGTTCATACACATTGCAATTTCAGACAGTGGTGAGGTACATGTGTGTGTGTGTCTTGCAGTGATCTTTGGCTGGCTGCAAACCAACAGTTGCCCTGTGTGTACAGGTCACTTTACAACAGCTGTCATCTCTGATTGGTATATGGTGTGCACAGTGTCCTTGGACTGCCGTCACAAAGGCTCGTTGACGTACCGGTCCAAGAATGTGCGCCTTGATCTGATGATCTACGACAGTATCAAAAGGAGACATTTAGCCCTAATTTGAGGACTACGGTTTCATATTTATGACAGATGTTGGGTGAACCTAAAAAGAGGACATCTAATATCCTATTTCTGCTTACGGTCATGGGTTGTTTTCAGCCTTCTTTTTCATTATTTCAGTTCCTAATCAGTAATTAATGATGATGCAAGATGCCCAAGTAAGATTAAGGCAGCATGAAAATGATGGACTGAGAGAAGTTGAAAGAACACTTTCCCCTTAATACTTTCCACAACATTTTCAAACAACTGTGGGGCTGTGCAGACATGCAGTATGAAAGAGTCTGCATTCTTCTGTTCCAAACAGCCCCTTAATAAGGGATGGAGCTATGGACCTACGCTGAGTTACAAATGAAACACACTGTAAGTCATTGGAGCATAATAAGAATGTTTTTGCATGAACTTGTGTATATACGCACGAGCGTACAATCACACCCGAGTACTGAATATAGTGTTACACTGAACATTTAGGGCAGACTTTGTTCCACTGTGGGCAAGTTGCGGCTTATGTCCTCTGTGCCATTTCTCTTGTGGTTCATCTACTCATTCAACACCCTCACCCCTCCTCCCCCCACCCAGGGAGTATTAGCCTCTGCCACACAGTGGAAAACATGCACCGCTCATCTGCATTTCGCCTATGAAGACATCAAACTGTAACCAATCACCACAAGGGTTGACATCATTACAATAAGCATTAAAAGTATAATGTTAATGATATCCTACTGAAAGCGAGCGGTCCATTTCCTGGAAGTTCAAATCCAAAAACCCACTCTGGTCATTTATCACAATGTAAACACACTACTGGCTAATTAGGCTTTAAGTAATACTAGTAAAGTAATTTATTCTATCTGTCTTAGAGTATGACAAGCTGCCATCTCTGCTACTTTCCACAGGATGGGCAGGTGCACAGGGTTTTGATGTTTACAACGCGATGGTTAACAGTTAATATAAACTGTCTCCCACAGCTAAGGGGGACCGTCAGTAATCTAGTGGCCCTCAAGATCACTGAAACCTTTCTAGACCGAAGAGAATTCTCCTATCCTCCCCTCTAGCGCTGCCTATGGGTAAATAAATTAAATCATGCAGCAGCGAGCACCAACCCCATCCCCTCACCAAAACCCCCCGACCATAACCATGTCATCCTCAGTACTGATGGAGACTGAATTAGACAGAAGGGATGGAAATTCATTTGATCCAGAATTAAAGACTGAGTTCTGTTCAAATGAAGAAAACCTGCCTGTTTGTCATGAAAAGCCTTGGGTATGTTGGAAGACCAACATGTTTTTCACAGGATGATCCAAGCATGACGCTTCGTAGAAAAGGAATGTATAATATGTGTGGCACCGAGATCCAATACCTCTTTCAATGTTTTGACAGGTCAAATCAAATCTGTTGACAATACTTCTGTTTTGAATTTCCCTGGAATGAGAGCTGAATAGTGACAATGTCCCAGTGTGTTTTTCTGCAGAGAGCACTGTGTGTCTTGGGGTTTGGAGTTAAAGTTTCCTTGCTTAAGTCCCACACACACACACACACACACACACACGCACCTCCTGATGGTGTGCACCAGGCTGTGACTGGGTAATTGCCAAAACTGCAACTGAAAACTTGTGTGTCTGTCTCTCACTCACACACACACACAGATATTTTGATTCAAAGTTCTTTTAGTAAAATAAAACAGAAACATGAAAAAAAGAGGAGGGAAAAAAAGATGAGCAGACTTAACACAGTGTAAACACAAGCTGTGACTACACATACACATAGACATACACACACAATTGCTTGGAAGTGGCCAGCAGTCCTTCAAGCCCATTTTCCACAGTGATAATATCTAACAGCCACGTAGGAAATTCAGCATGTGCATAAAGAAAGCGCCCGGAGGCCTCGGCAAATTGTGAATACAAACTGCCCACTCCGACACCAACATCCTGTGAATTGCTACAAATCTGCACCTGTAAAAGAAATGGCTAGCATTGTAAAAGACCGAAAAAAATACAGCGCAGTAAGACAAATGTTCATCAAAATAACAGATGACTCAAATAGACTAAAGTCATGCATTTGCCAATGGGTGTTTGAAAGAGGAGAAGCCTGAGAACAATACTAGCATCAGGTCCTCCAGACGCCACACGTAGGCGATCACTGAGATGACAACATGGAGGAGAATAAAAAATGAGTTTTCCCTGCAATCAAACTTCATTTGGTGCAGAGAGGGAGAGAGAAACAGTGTGGTGATGCTAAGAGGAAAAGGCCCATAGCGAAACCACCTGTTGTGAGGCCCTGGAGCAATGAGGTCTGGGGCCCGCGGCCTAACTACAGGAGATCGTGCTGACAGCTCCAGTGCCATCCTGGCTCTCCCAGTGGGGGCCCTCTCTTCTCTGGATTAATGGAGACGACATCTATGGAATTAACCGGGCATGGCAGCTGGGGATTAAGTGAATATTACGCTCTCGGCTCAATGCCGCATGCTGCGGTTTAACGCTGTAACACTTAGTCCCGTTCGTGGGTACCAAATGTGGGAAGCATTACCGGCTCTCTCTGGCTCATTATGCGTACCCATTACTGGCTTGGTTGGGAAGGGATGAGGAAGGCTCATGGTAGGCAGCTAGGGAGGAGGAGGACACTTTCCACACTGTCAGCCATTATTACCCCAACAGGGAATAAAATGAAGAGGAGTGTTGCTGCTCATAATGACAAAAATACAACAGACTGGGGTAGACAGAAGGACTGCTCTGTTTTGATTTATCACCAATTTGGTTTGCTTGCATAATACAAGGGAAGCATGCTAGACTGTCAAGGCAAAACACGCCTGGATTTCTGGATTTAATTTGTAAAGACAGAAGTCATATGTCACTGTGGGCCAACAAAATGCAGTGTAAAACACCTCCACAGTATTCAAGAAGGTCTTATGAGGGGAAATGAGAGGAAGAGCAAATTAATTGGGAGAGGAATCGGGAGAGGAGAGGAATTAGGAGAAGAAATGAGAGGAATCCAGAGAGGAATCAGAAGAGGAAAGGAGAGGACATGAGACAAGGGGAGAGAAATTAGAAGAGATAAGGGAAAGGAATCAGCAAGGTAGAGTAGAATGCTGAAAGGACAGATAGTGAAAAGAGGGAAATGGACATATCCAGACAGACAGGCATGTGTCCTTCAAATGCTCCCTCCACGCAACTGCTAAAAAGCATCTGTGAAAATGATTATGGTACAGTAGTAAAGTGGGCTGCATGGCTGATCTTAAGACCATTTGATTGTATCAAACATCTAACTATTTCTGGACAAGATCACAGTGGTGTATACATACAGTTCCCGAACAAGTCAAAAAAGTTTCAGTCAAATTTCAGGCAAGTAGATGTACTTCACACACCTATACTAATAAAAACAATGAAAGCAAAGGGCGAGGTTAGCGTGTGTGACATTTTAAAAATATGTATGTGTAGTACGTGTGTAAGACCACGGTGGTGCACTTATTAGAGTGTTATCTGGGGAGAACACATTCTGGGAGTAGTTTCCACAGCCCCCGCACTAAGCACTTGGAAAGTGGTACCCAACCCAAGTGTTACCGGCTTATTCGGTGGAACAGGGCTCTAGACCTTTGGCTGCAAGAGGTCCATTTGTGTCGAGCACTATTTGTTTTTCCCCTCCGTCTTATCCCACAGCTCTTTGGGCTCAGGAATGTCTCGTCTCAAAACGATGCCTGATGCCTTGTGTGTTGGCAAAAAAAAAAAAGCACAAAAACACATGCATACACACATTTACTTCTGCTTCAACCGGAGTCCTTGAAGCCACTATCAACATGCCAAAAGGGGCCTCTGAGTGCCAAAAGTACTGAGACTAAATCCCTGTTTTCCTGTTTGTCTCAACAGTCAGACGCTCATTGAAGATGCTCTACAATACAAAAACCCACAGTCAAG